CGGTATCATTTACTTCACATTTTTGGAGCCAATGAAACTGTTCAAAGTTTTTGTTGTTAATATATTTCTGACATAACTCAATAAGGGTAATGAAGCCAAATATCTTCGCTTTTGCATCAACAAGAGTTTTATTTGTTCCTTGAAGTTTCTTACTTAATATATTCAGTTTTTCAAAGATATTGGCTAAATAACTCACAAATGCTTTACCGTCGACTGTAAACAGATGCTTCATTTCAGGTTTGTCGCTTAAAAAATCCCTAAGTCACATAATATTTATTGACCGCAATTATTTAAGAATTTGCTTTTTTCTTTCGATTTTGTCACCGAAATCTCGCATTGCATTCAAATGGCCCAGAGCAAGAGGTTTAAACTCATGACGAGTCCATTTTTGAATTGCCCCCCTTTACAATCAAATTGCCCCCAGGTGGGGCGTGGGCCCCACGTTGGGAAACACTGCCCTAAACCATCGCGGCTCGAGAACAGAATTATTAGCGATATCAAAAAAAGATGGAAAAAATCTCACTTTTCAAATATACAGTTAGGTAGGTGGGTACTTAATTTACGTCGCTCTTCAGTTGCACTATGGGCTGTTTCCGACGGTCTAGGAAACATCCCTGAGGATGATCCGTAGACATGCCATCGCAATTTTGATCCTCTACAGAAATGGCTGGCTCCTATGTTTTGGTTGCCCAACAACGTATGCGCGAAGTCGAGCACTTTACGGTAGAACAGTTTAACGGGGAAACATTCCGTGCTTCTTCGGTGCCTACGCTGGCTGAACAAAGCGGTCACCCACCCGCTTACAGACATCAGGCAGGTGATGCCTGTCTTCCTTGTTCAACTCAGTTCTTTTAAGCAATTTTATAATCGCGAACAATTATAAATGTTTTTTTCACCAGCTGTACTAAAAAAAAATTAAAAAAAAAAATTGCGATTTTAAAAAAAAAGGTTTAAAAAATCCGGCCCATATCTCTTTAACATGATTTTGTAAACTTAACTTTGCTTTAGAGTGGTTTAATTTTTATTTAGGACACATATATTGTTTAACCCCTTTCCAGTGTCACCCGAATCCAGTTGGGGCAACTACCACGTGCAGTATTTGTGATGCCCGAGTTGAGTTCGTTTCTATTTTAGGAAACTTAATTCACTATTTTCCTATTAGATGGCATTAGTGGTCCTAGCTTTTCACCGATTACGACTTTAGTAAAGGGAGGGAAATGTGGGTGGAGGTTTTGAAATATATCACACTGTAAAAGATTTGTAAAATTTACGTATTGAAAATCATATTGTTGTGTTTTTATATTATATTATGCAAGTTTTATTACATTTAGCTTCAAATTTTTTTTTAAAATTTGCTCTAATTGAATAAGATGAGTGTGTAATCCATTACATTTTTATGTGTATGTAAAAATTATTTTATACAGTAGTTAAAATTGTAAATTTATATCATATTATATATAGTTTAAAAATTTTATTTTTGTAATAAAAAACCATTTTCAATCTTTTATAATAATATAATGAACAAAATGAAAGAGTCAAAAAAAAATTTCAATTTTTGGTCCATTTTTCTGAAATATATGTCACTGTTAATGAACTTGAAAAGTGTTCAGTAATCTCAAACGGTCCATTTTTTCCCCAGCCTTTTTGAGACGCATCCGGATGTTCAAGATGTGTTCATGCCGTTCAAAGGTCTCACTAAAGAAGAGCTGAGGCACAGCACAGAACTCAGAGCACACGGTCTTCGGGTGATGGGATTCGTCCAAAAAGTCGTCGCACGTCTTGATGAGCCTGAAAAATCTGAACAATTACTCAGAGAACTTGGGAAAAATCACGTGATGTATGGTGCCAAGATAGATTACGTGGATGTAAGTTAAACATTCTATTCAACTAGACATTTAATAATTTAAAATTCCCGCTGTACATGCGGTCCCTGGATGAATTATTAGACGCATTATAAAATTCTATGTAAAATCTTAATTATCAGATGATACTATACAGCATTATTGTTTTTAATGTGACTGAAACTGGTTTGCACTTGCGTATGTTCGAGTATAATTTGGTTAACATTGCAATGCAATACCTTTAAAATAAACACAAATAGGAAGTATATTAAAAATCTCTTGAATAAAAAAACATTACATGTATGTTTAAATACAAAAGTATTGCCAATAAACTCTTGCAAAGCATGCATTTATTAAAACACTACTGCGTGTCTAATATTTTGATTTAATTATTATAATACACTAATATAATACCTGATATAATAATTATTCTATATTTATATAATATATGATCTAATTTATAGAATCATCGAATTTATATTATACATTGTCTCATTTAACCAATTGATACACGAACTTAAACAAGCGCAAACCGGTTTCACTGTACTGTCAGAGACTGTACACTTCCTGTTAACTACAATACCCCATCAAAAATTCCCTAAAGTTTGGCATAAATTAAGACGTAAAAAGAGCGTTAAACAATAAGTTTAAAGTGGAGATTTGGAAGCTTTGAAATGTTATGTTACAATGATAATAAGTTATAGGATTGTTTTTTTTTAACTTTGACAAACAAAATATTGTCTTTTATCAAAAGTGACTATAACAACTGCTTGAATACATATTTTGAGTATGGAAGAATGTATTATATAGAAAAAAACGTACTGAAAATAAAATAAACAGATAAACCTTCAAAAATTGATCTTCTGAAAAATATTTGGAAACATTTAGGAATCCCAGAAAAAAAATGTATGGAAAATTCATAGCCTTGTGACACTTTGACAAGCGTTTCAACTATTTTTTCAGAACAGTAAAAAAATTGGAAACATCAAAGAGACGTTTTGAAATTTTGACAACACATTGTTTTGGAAAATAAATGCTTTGATGCTACAGTGTCTTTTAAAATCAATGTTGCTTTTAGATCAAATTGCATTTTCGTTTCCATTTCTTTTCAAGTGGACCAATCCATTGCTAAGCATTTCATGTTCGAACATGATATTACGTTTCACTGACAGAAATTCGTTATAAGAAGTTTAACAGTTCTAGAAACGCATACTTACAGTATTTTAGATTTTTTTCCTTTCAAAAGAATTCATCATTTGAAGGGAGGAGACGGGGAAGGAATTTTTTTTATAGTTTATAACCGTCGTTAAACAGTCGGCCCAATTTTTTAGGTTTACGACTACTAATGATCAACACCGTACCTTTTAGTTTTGAACCCAATCCAGATGACAATTGAAATCCTGTATCAAGAATTAGGAAAAATTTTGCCTTTATGGACAACATTTTGATGCATCTAACCCGCATTTGCGTTACATGGAGAGGAAAACTGTAAAAACCTCCCACTGCTAGCTAGACAGCAAGGGGACTCTAACCCATGATTCGTCAACCATTTACGTCATCACTGTAATTGGTGAGAGGCGGGTATTGAATTCGTATCAACCAGACATTGCTGGGATTCGAACCCAGATTTCCTCATTGGGAGGTGAATGCTCGATTCCCTTAACCACCACGGTTCGAGGAAAGAAAATTTTATTTTATATCATCGCGTTGAACAGCTGACCTAGTTTTGGGGCTTACGACCACCAATGTTCAACTCCATAGCCTTGTAAGTCTGAACCGATTCAGAAGACAAGGAAACTCCGGGATCAATACCCCCAGAGGTATGATTTGCTATGAGAACATGAGGACTTTGTGACTTGACAGATTTAACATGCATCAGTCACCATTTACTACATGGGAAGTGTTCGGCCGACGGGAATCGAACCCACATCCTCTTGGTCAAGGGAACAATGCCCTGCCAACCAGGCAATCCCAGCCGAGGGGATATAATTGGTCTTGTTTTCCAGTGGTGATACCTAAGGCAGAGAATTCGACTACTGCCCAGCCCGTAAATCACCCGTTTTCAGAAAGGGCCCATTCATACATCCCTTCATCCACGGAATGTAATTTAGAGCTGAACTAGAGAGCAATCAATCTCCTATCCAGTACCCGAAACTCTTTTTAGGCTTGTTCCACGTCGAATTTTGAAAAATAGTAAACCATAATTTTTATCAAAGGCGCACCATGTTTTTATTTATTTTTTATGACAGAATATAATAATCCACGGATTGCAATTTAGAAATATTCCAGAGAGCAATCAATCTCCTATCCAGTACCCCAAACTCTTTTTAGGCTTGTTCCACGTCGAATTTTGAAAAATAGTAAACCATAATTTTTATCAAAGGCGCACCATGTTTNGACGATAAGAACGTATCCAATGAGCGAGCAAAGCGAGCATTGGATTGCGAAGCAATCCGAAATTAACTGCGAAAGCAGTTCCGGGGGTTGGTGAGCGTTAGCGAGCAGGGGGCGAAGCCTCCTAGTACTAATATAATACCTGATATTATAATTATTCTATATTTATATAATATATGATCTAATTTATAGAATCATCGAGTTCATATTATGCATCGTCTCATTTAACCAATTGGTACACGAACGTCAACAAGTGCAAACCGGTTTCACTGTACTGTCAGAGACTGTACACATCCTGCTAACTACAATACCTCATCAAAAATTCCCGAAGTTTGGCATAAATTAAGACGTAAAAAGAGCTTTAAACAATAAGTTTAAAGTGGAAAGTTGGAAGCTTTGAAATGTTATGTTACAAGTACAATAAGTTCTATGATTGTTTTTTTAACTTTGACAAACAAAAAATTATCTTTAATCGAAAGTGACTATAACAACTGCTTGAATACTGATACATATTTTGAGTATGGAAGAATGTATTGTATAAAAAAGAACGTTATAAAGATAAAATAAAATAAACAGATAAACCTTCAAAAATTGATCTTGTGAAAAATATTTGGAAATACTTTGGAATCCCAGAAAAAAAATTATTTTTATGGAAAATTCATAGCCTTGTGACACTTTGACAAGCGTTTCAACTATTTTTTCAGAACAGTAAAAAAAATTGGAAACATCAAAGAGACATTTTGAAATTTTGACAACACATTGTTTTGGAAAATAAATGCTTTGATGCTACAGTGTCTTTTAAAATCAATGTTGCTTTTAGATCAAATTGCATTTTCGTTTCCATTTCTTTTCAAGTGGACCAATCCATTGCTAAGCATTTCATGTTCGAACATGATATTACGTTTCACTGACAGAAATTCGTTATAAGAAGTTTAATAGTTCTAGAAACGTATACTTACAGTATTTTTTTCCTTTCAAAAGAATTCATCATTTGAAGGGAGGAGACGGGGAAAGAATTTTTTTTAATAGTTGATAACCGTCGTTAAACAGTCGACCCAATTTTTTAGGTTTACGACTACTAATGTCCAACTCCGTACCTTGTAGTTTCGAACCCAATCCAGATAACAATTGAAATCCTGTATCAAGTATTAGGAAAAATTTTGCCTTTATGGACAACATTTTGATGCATCTAACCCGCATTTGCGTTACATGGAGAGGAAAACTATAAAACGTCCCACTGTTAGCTTGGCAGCAAGGGATTCTAACCCATGGTCCTCCTACCACTGAGAATATTTTACATCAGCACTGTAATTGGTGAAAGGCGGGTATTGAATTCGTATCAACCAGACATTGCTGGGATTCGAACCCAGATTGCTCAATTCCCCTAACCACCATGGCTCGAGGAAAGAAAATTTTATTTTACATCGTCGCGTTGAGCAGCTGACCTAGTTTTAGGGCTTACGACTACTAATGTTCAGCTCCATAGCCTTGTAAGTCTGAACCGATCCAGAAGACAAGGAAACTCCTGGATCAATACTCCCAGAGGTATGATTTGTTATGAGAACATGAGGACTTTGTGACTTGACAGATTTAACGTGCATCAGTCACCATTTACTACAAGGGGAGTCTTCGGCTGACGGGAATCGAACCCACATCCTCTTGGTCAAGGGTCCAGTGCCCTACCAACCAGGCTATCCCAGCCGAGGGGATACAATTGTTCNTTATATAACCGTCATTGAACAGCCGACCCAATTTTTTAGATTTACGACTACTAATGTTCAACTCCGTAGTCTTGTAGTTTTGAACCCAATCCAGATAACAATTGAAATCCTGTATCGAGTATTAGGAAAAATTTTGCCTTTATGGACAACATTTTGATGCATCTAACCCGCATTTGCGTTACATGGAGAGGAAAACTATAAAAACCTCCCTCTGCTAGCTTGACAGCAAGGGGACTCTAACCCATGATTCGTCAACCACTTACGTCATCACTGTAATTGGTGGGAGGCGGGTATTGAATTCGTATCAACCAGACATCGCTGGGATTCGAACCCAGATTTCCTCATTGGGAGGTGAATGCTCGATTCCCTTAACCACCACGGTTCGAGGAAAGAAACTTTTATTTTATATCGTCGCGTTGAACAGCTGACCTAGTTTTGGGGCTTACGACTAGTAATGTTCAACTCCATAGCCTTGCAAGTCTGAACCGATCCAGAAGACAAGGAAACTCCTGGATCAATACTCCCAGAGGTATGATTTGTTATGAGAACATGAGGACTTTGTGACTTGACAGATTTAACGTGCATCAGTCACCATTTACTACATGGGGAGTCTTCGGCTGACGGGAATCGAACCCACATCCTCTTGGTCAAGGGTCCAGTGCCCTACCAACCAGGCTATCCCAGCCGAGGGGATACAATTGTTCTTATTTTCCAGTGGTGATACCTAAGGCGGAGAATTCGACTTCTGCCCCACCCGTAAATCACCCGTTTTCAGAAAGGGCCCATTCATACATCCCTTCATCCACGGTATGTAATTTAGAGCTGAACCAGAGAGCGATCAATCTCCTATCCAGTACCCCAAACTCTTTTTAGGCTTGTTCCACGTCGAATTTTGAAAAATAGTAAACCATAATTTTTATCAAAGGCGCACCATGTTTTTATTTATTTTTTATGACAATATATAATAATCCACTGATTGTAATTTAGAACTATTCCAGAGAGCAATCAATCTCCTATCCAGTACCCCAAACTCTTTTTAGGCTTGTTCCACGTCGAATTTTGAAAAATAGTAAACCATAATTTTTATCAAAGGCGCACCATGTTTTTATTTATTTTTTATGACAGGATATAATAATCCACGGATTGCAATTTAGAAATATTCCAGAGAGCAATCAATCTCCTATCCAGTACCCCAAACTCTTTTTAGGCTTGTTCCACGTCGAATTTTGAAAAATAGTAAACCATAATTTTTATCAAAGGCGTACCATGTTTTTATTTCTTTTTTATGACAGGATATAATAATCCACGGATTGTAATTTAGAACTATTCCAGAGAGCAATCAATCTCCTATCCAGTACCCCAAATTCTTTTTAGGCTTGTTCCACGTCGAATTTTGAAAAATAGTAAACCATAATTTTTATCAAAGGCAAACCGAGTTTTTATTTCTTTTTTATGACAAGATATCATAAATTTTCTGTTTATCTATACGAATTATATGGCAACAGAATACGCCAAATGGTTGTATTAAAAGTAAAGAAAATTACAGAATAATAATTTGAAATAAGAAAATGACTTTTACTTCCTTTTTATTTATATTGAACTACAGAATAAGTCTAATCGTATTTATATTGGGGGTTGGGGATATTTGATTTTCGATTGTATCATCGATCCTCAACTCGATATCGATAAGAATATCTGTCTACTCGAGGAACAATAATACTTTTGTTTCTTTTTGTATTAAATGCAGACGACTGGGAATAGCGTTCCAATAAAAGAGAGAATTCGATGAAGTCGAAAAGAGCCAACGAAGAGGTTTTCTGATGAGGAACACAAAATATATTAATAGTGTTTCTTCGTTACGTTCTATTGTTGTGATTGCTAAAATAAACCGAAAACAGAATACATTATTTACCAAGTGAATTGATTTCTATATAAGGCTCTACTGTATAGTTTATGGGCACAATAAAAAAATTATCATAGAAAAACAGTTACATTGAAGATGCAACGAATCGAAAAATACATTTCTGACAGAGAAGAATGAAAAAAAATAATAAATAGAAACGGATTTATTTGATGTCTTGAGAAATCTCATCGAATTTTAACAAATTCGAGTCCAATTTCCAAATTAAATCCTACCTCTCGCTTTATCTTCATGTATCTATGCTATGATTTTTTTTATTGAGAAAAGAAGGAAAACAGGCATTAAATACTCGAAATACTGTTAATTTGTAGTTAATGCACTTGCTTTTTGCTTTTAAATTTCATCCTTTAATGAGAGAGAAAATCGGTTTTAGTATCCCCATTTTTATTCATGCACACTAATATTGCATGATCATAGTTTACAGTCCCAGGGAAAATTATTAGACACATAATAAGATTCTGTACAGAATCTTAACTATCAGGTGATACTTTGCAACATTATTGTTTTTACGCGGCTGAATTCGATTTGCACTTGTTTATGTTATTAATCATTTGGATTACATCGTCATGCAATACGTTAAATATAAATACAAGTGGGAAGTATATAAAAAATCTCCTGAATAAAAACCCATTACATGTATATTTAAACATAAAAATATTGCCTATAAACCAGTGCAAAACGTGTAATTATTAAAACACTACAGTGCGTCTAATAATTGAGTATAATTATTATAATATACTAATATAATACCTGATATAATAAATATTCTATATTTATATAATATATCGTTTAATTTATCCTATCGTCCAATTTATATTATAAATCGTCTAATTAAAACAATTAATAGACGACCGTAAACAAGTGCAAACCGGCTTCAGTAGCGTGAAAACAATAATACTGCATAGTAACACCTGATAATTAAGATTTTACAATGTCTGAAATCAATGTAAATGAATCAAACAATTTTCACGTAATTATAAAACTCGTTTAATTAATGAAAACTTCACGCAAAATAAATAAATACAAACTTTTAATACCTATTTCTTTATTTTAAAATGTATCAAAACAAATCTATAGTGAATGTAGTGGTTTAATAGCTTAAACATTCGTAGATAAGCTATTCTCAAATGAAAAAATCTTGAATTTAAATAAACAATTTTCTGAATGATATTTCTAGGAAACTATTCAATGCATAGCTGTTTGATATTAATAGAATGTATCCTTATTGAAATAAATAATAAATAAATAAAAATTAACGGTTAAAACTTTTCGAATGGTTTTATGTCTTTTATACTAGTTTCAAAAGTTTAAGTAGACATTTTTTTACTAATTTTATCCTTTCTGGAGATTTAATGAAAATACTATAATTGAACTGAAGGGTTCAAACTTCTTACTTTTTTTCTCTTAGGGCAGTCACTTTTCCATCCAAATTTTGAGACTCAAAAATCTAACTCCGTTAACAAATAATAATAATAATTCGTTTTTGTTAAAAAAAAAATAGAACGTTTTGGTTTCCGTAGAACCAATAGTTGGCACTAACTAATTAGCGTGTGGGGAAAGTAGTTTTTGACAGTGTCAACCTTCATCTATGAAAAGGTACCCCAATATAGAATCGAGTTAACATGACTTATATACAAGTGAATTGGAATTGTACTTATAGCGGTATAGATACACTACAGTACTCCCCCACCAGAATTATATCTGTGATAGAATTCGATGAATGATTACCACTAGTTGATTCATTGCTATTTTATGAAAGGCCGGGAGAGCTGTATTAAGATCACCGTATTTTCGGCTGTTGATCATGAGAGCTGTATTAAGTTCACGGTCATGGTCGCTCCTGTGTTGCCTTTAGCAGTCGAGTGCATACGATGCGTGTGATCGAGACTGAGAGGCAGCAGCTTGTGGAGGACAGTGTCACAGTCACAAGTAGCAACTCAACTGTTCAATGCGAACCATCCATCGAAGTAGGCGTGTTCAAATCGTAGTAGGCGTTTCTGCCAAGGTAGGCGTGTTCACATCACGTCCGAAGGTCACCAATGTGGGGAGTGTTGTTACAGACAATTTCAACTTTCATCTATGAAAAGGTACCTCAACTTAAAATCAAGTTAACATGTTTTATATACTAGTGAATTGGAATTGTATATTTGTAGTGGTAGATATAGTACGCGCTCTTTTAGCAATTAAGCATAAGCTGGAGCATAAGAACCGTAACTCCTGAAAATACAATAACTAAATACAATAACTAAATAAAATATAATTTGGGATCACATTTTGAGATAGTGTTCAGCGGGTGACTGACTAATTTCGAAATTAAAAATCTCGGAACCAAGAGTTGTGAGAGAAGTAAAGCAAACGGTGAATCTATTGTGAAAGCTGTAAAATTTCATGCAGAAATTTTGCAATGTTACGTAAATTGCCAACAGATGGAGCTTTACGTGGTACGTGAAAACTGATGGCACTGTTCGTGAAAAGAATACAAATGCCGTAGAAAACATAATCAAATTGTGATATTCCAGTAACAGAAACATACGCTGTTCAATAGAATTTAAGATTCATACGTCTTAAATCAAAACAAAAGACTTCCTTCACGTTGTAACGCTGGAATTGACAGCTCTGGACATTCATATCTGGCAGCGCCTTCTGTTAGCAACCTTTGAAAATAAATTCCGAAATTTTTGTTCAAAAATTTTACTACTTTTACAACAAAAATACCGATTTTTACATTCCGCTATCACCCTTTGTTTCGGAAATTTTTAATTTTAAAATCAGCCATCCATCTACAACCTGTATTCTTGCAACCTGTATTCTAGCCATTCATCTACAAACTGTATTTTTAAAATTATTTTTTTTGGCATTCATAATCTTATAATGCATCTATATTTTGTATATTTTTAAAATTATGCTTGTTTTGAAAGATGTAGATCTTTGTATATTTTTCTCTGATTTCAGCTGATAGGACCCCAGTTTGTGTTTGCAGTGAAGCCGTCGATGAAAGACCACTGGTCAGATGATATTGAAGATGCGTGGATTCAGCTTTTCAAATTTATGGCATACAAAATGAAGAAAGCTATGTTGGAATCGATAAATAATCAAAACGATTCAAATCAAGAAACAAACAAAGAGGCCAACACAAAACAAATTGAAATTTAATTGTTTTTAATTTATGTATCACAAAATCTAACTGATTCATTTTGTATACAAATGTACTTTATTTACACTGACCAAAATGAAGTCAGTAGGTGGACTTTTTTAACGTATTTATTTAAGTTATAAAATAATGAAGATGAGTGTGTGTAAACATAGCGCAATACAAAAATATATTAATTATGTTTCAGAAACATTTTGATCTCCTTAAAATCAAAACATTTTCAGCTTATGCAAAGACTGTTCCAAAAGTTATTTATTTAAGTTATAAAATAATAAATATGTATGTGAACAAGTATAGCGCAATGCTAAAAATATATCAATTACGTTTCAGAAACATTTTGATCTCCTCAAAACGTTAAAACATTTTCAGCGACTATTCCTAAAGTTGTTTATTTAGGTTATAAAATAATGAATATGTATATGTGCAAATGCAGCGCAATGCAAAAATAGATCAATTATGTTTGAGAAACATTTTGATCTCCTTAAAATCAAAACATTTTCAGCTAATGTGAAGACTGTTCCAAAAGTTATTTATTTCAGTTATGAAACAATGAATATGTATCTGTACAAATGTAGCGCAATGTTAAAAATATATCAATTATGTTTCAGAAACATTTTGATCTCCTCAAAACGTTAAAACATTTTCAGCGACTATTCCTAAAGTTGTTTATTTAGGTTATAAAATAATGAATATGTATATGTGCAAATGCAGCGCAATGCAAAAATAGATCAATTATGTTTGAGAAACATTTTGATCTCCTTAAAATCAAAACATTTTCAGCTAATGTGAAGACTGTTGAAAAAGTTATTTATTTCAGTTATGAAACAATGAATATGTATCTGTACAAATGTAGCGCAATGTTAAAAATATATCAATTATGTTTCAGAACCATTTTGATCTCCTCAAAACATTAACACATTTTCAGCTATTGCGAAACACTGTTGTTCCAAAAGTTAGTACATGTTTTTTTGTTTTAGTATGCTCTCTATAATCCTATTATTTATGTTTATTTGCAACAATATTTCGTTACTGAAAAAAGGACGGCACTTACTTTCGAATTGTCCAATGCTATTTATTGCGAAAATAATTTTAAAATTATTGTCAGCTATTATTAATGTGTCGCATTTAGTAAAGAAAGCAAAGTAACAGAGACTCGAGGGTTTAGATCCCTTTGGGAATCGGGCGAAATTAACTGTCACTATAGGGCGATTAAACCTTAAAAAAGATAGCTAAAATTTTATTTGCGACTGTCAACCCAAACGCCAATTTTTTATTTAAAATGCCCCCATGTGGTTCAAAATACGTGCTTTTAATTTCTCATATTACATCTTAGACGGAAACGCCGTAATGATTCCCAGAACTTTCAGAATATTTCATTTTGATTTAAAGTTTCGTTCGAACAAAATTTAATTTCGAAGGTTTCCTTCGAGAATAAGTTAATTTCTTATAACTTTTTAATATGTTTGCTATTTTATATTGCATAATTAGTTTAATAACTCCTGCCCGAAGTTTTATCAGTTAAAAACATTATATCTAATGCTTAAATTTTGCATAAACCTACTTGAAGTTATAAAACTGTTTTCTTCATTTTAAAAACCATAGAATATTTATCATATTTTGCAAAATTCCTGAATAAAAATGCTTACTATCAACAATATTAATACATTTTCTTTATTAGTTTTAGATTTAGATTTCCATTTTTTAGATTCCAATTTTTGAAAAAAGTGGTGCTTTTTAATGAGTTCCTTGAATTATAACTTTTTGCAATGAACTCTAATGTCGGGTGGATCAGCATAGGCAAATGCTAGGCACGATTTAAACTATTTTTTTTAAATTTTTGGAAGCAGACTGATAAAAGAAATTCAATGTACTCAACTGTATCTTTAGTAATATTTATAATAGAATGTCTTCATCCTATTAAAATGGCAGATATATCGATGGTTTTTCTGTCGTGTATTAAACAAATAGCTTTTTTTTTTGAAAAAAGTAATTTAAAATTTTATTTTCTTCTCTTTTTGGATTTTTTGTTAAAGTACATTTGCTTAAAAAGAATTCCGTCGCAACTGGTAAATCAGATTTTGTTATGAAACAAAATTAAAGAAAAAAGCAAAACCAGCAGTCAAATACACATTATTAGATTATCTATCCTTGATAACAAACTTCATAGTTTTGTTGTTTAAATATTTAAGGAGAAAATAAATAAATAAAAATATAAAAAACGAAATCAACAAAAAAATTGTGATAGCCTTAGTACGATCACTGGTTACCCATTGGTCTAATGATTTTTCTTTCTGGATTGACTCCGTTTAACATCTCAAATCATGGGTTGCAAAAACTGTCTCAATTGATGTTTGTCGTCGGATTGATTTTCATATCCTGCCTATGTACGTGTTTCAAGACGTCACAAAATACTTTTCCTTCCTCAGCATTCATATTTACATTGAAATCACCGTTAGGACAGTCATTATACGTTAATAATAAAATTATAAAAATACTTTAAATTATTGTTATGTAAATACATTAAAAATGCCTTCTGGTGAAAAGAAAAAGAAAAACAGCAGCGTACGCCATAGCAACGCATGCGCACTGTTTGCTATTACTCCTGAACACAGTTGAAAAGTGTGTGGACGCCATCAAATCCGAACCAAGACCCTTTTTGCCAATGGGTAATAAATAACTGACATTNTGGAAAATCCGAGCCCTTTAAAACTGCTGGCGTTATTAGTTAAGCTTAATGTGGTAAGCCTTATAGGCGTAATTCAAAATGACTTCGACCATTTTTAATTGGCTAACAGCATATATATCAGATATATATGAGGAAGGTATATCAGGCAGAAAATAAGTTTTGAAAAATGCCCACTTATAAGTAAATTATGAGATAAACTGCGCATAAGCCAGTACAAAATTTAACATTCATTTTGCAATGAATAAGTATTGTAAACATCAAGTAAATTCTGAAGTGGAAAATCCTATGTGGAAAGTCCGAGCCCTTTAAAATTGCTGACGCCATTTGTTAAGCTTAATGCAGTAAGCTTTATAGGGGCGATTCAAAAAGACTTCAGTCGATGGCAAAGAGCTACCTTTTTTAATTGGCAAACGCCATATACGAATATATCCACATTTTCCTTAAATTGGAATAGCTTGTTTTTAAAAATTTTATAATTAAGATATGCCAGTACGATTTTTATGCGTCACTGCATTTGAAACTGTAATGTTTCGAGCCCTGTAATTTTTGCATCACGAAACATAAATATTTACGAGATCGTTGACATGAAAGGTTTACATTTTATTCAATTTGAAAACTTTGTGTATTTGAAATGCTTCAGATAACATCGTCTGGGAGTAAATGAAAGAATCTTTTTATTTGTCTTAATGTATTTTAAATATGATTTATGAAAAACATTTTTAATATTTTTTTCTTTTTTTGGATATTACTTAAAAAGTAGGTTATGAAGATTTATAATTAATATAAACTTTTAAACTTCTCAAAAAAATAAAATGGCCAAATTATTAGACGTACTACATGATTTCATACAAAATCTTAATTATCAGATCATACTATACAGCTTTACTGTTTTTGCGTCACTGAAACCGGTTTCCACTTGTTTACGTTAGTGTATTCAATTGGTTAAATTAGACGATATATAATATGAATTCTACAATTGGATAAATTAGACGATATATTATATAAATATAAGATATCTATTATATCAGGTATTATATTAGTATGTTATAATAACTAGACAAAATTATAAGAGAAACGGTAGTGTTTTAATAATGACATGTTTTGCACGAGTTTATAGGCAATACATTTATATTTAAACATACATGTAATGGATTTTCATTCAGGTGATTTTTTACATACTCCCTGTTTGTATTTATTTTTAACGTATTTCATTAAAATGTTAACCCATTGATACACGAGCGTACACAAGTACAAACCGGTTTCAGTCGCATAAAAACAATAAAGCTGTATAGTATCAACTGATAATTACGATTTTACTATTTGATAATTGGAATCTTATATTGCGTCGAATAATTTGGCCAGAGACTGTATGAATTTCAAGAATTGAAATTTCAATGGGGCAAAAAGTTGAAACTATATGCAACTTATGATTGATTATCAATGACAACTCATAGTTGAACATCATATTAACTTTTCAGCTAGTTTAATCAAAAGGGAAAATTTTCATATTTTAGGAAAACTATACCAGTTCATTCAAATTGAGCTTGTGTCTGAATTTGCTATTTAAAAAACATAAATATGTTAAATAATCTCCGACAGCTGACACTAGGTTCCCGAAAAATGTTATAATCAAAAATGCAAATGTCAAAAAAAATTTGGAGAAACTCTACATGAGAACACAACAAGACTATGTTTTATTAAAATTTCACCAAGTTTAAAAGGAGATTAAAAAAAAACTGTGCTATGTAAGTTTTGTAATATCATGTGTTTTTGGATTGCATAAATTGTCTTTCAAATCGAAGCATTCAATATTTAATAACATTATCATGTTTTAAGTAATAAAGAAATGGTGTACAATGCTTGTCTTTTTAATTATTTAAATTTCGAATACATTTTACTGATTTTCATCCCTATTAGCGCTTTTAAAGCGTGCACAAATTAATTTTTGAAAAACAAAATCTCAATTAATAAGTTATATTTCATGATGCAATTTCTTAACAATAATTTGTACTATATATTTTTGTTTTCTACCGAATTCTGTATCGAAGTTTTTAAGGAAGAACTTTGACCACTTACGGTATTTCAAAATTAAAAACATATTTCAATGCAGATGCCATAGATGCTGGTTGAAGGCTAACTTTTTTTTCCGCCATCTATGTGTAAGAGTAATTCATATTTTGATGAAACACAGGCCAATTTTTAACAGTTAGTAATTTATTCCAAAACAATTATGGCTTTGTTCCATTTTGCAATCTACCTATGTATCTTTACGGAATAATGGGTGTGTTACTATACAGTCCTGGGCAAATTATTAGATACACTATAAGAGTCTATGTGGAATCTTAATTATCAGTTGATACTATACAACCTTATTGTTTTTACGTGACTAAAACCGGTTTGCACTTTTTCACGTTCGTGTATCAGTCATATCGTCATATCATATCGTGTGTTAACATTGTAATGTAATACGTTAAAAATAAATGCAAATAGGAAGTATATAAAAAAATCTTCTGAATGAAAACCCATTNATAATTAACTATGTTTTAGTTGAATTAATGAACTGTTACAATTGACCCCGTAAGTGGGGACAATTGTAACAAGTGCAGGACTGTCAAAAATTGTTAATAACTAATATAATAACATTTAAAATAAGGTATTTATTTTTTTTTCTAGTAGAGGATAGTCTACTTTACTTGTCTGTCAATTAATACTAATAATATATTGGATTTTTTGTTAGTTAAAAATAGTTAAGTAAAAAATGTTACAACTGACCCCACTCTCCCCCATATTATAATAATTAGACCAAATTGTTAGCCTCACTATAGTTTTTTTTATAATGACATGCTTTGCACGAGTTTATGTGCTATGCTTTTATATTTTAAACATACATGCAATGGGCTTTTATTCAGGTAATTTTTTATATACTTCCTGTTTGTATCTATTTTTAACATATTGCACTATAGTCAATTAATACACGAACGTAAACAAGTACAAACTGGCTTCAGTCGCTTAAAAACAATACTGCTGTGTAATATCACCTGATAATTACATCGAATCTTACAGTGAGTCTAATAATTTGGCCAGGGACAGTACAGTAT